AAACAAACATTATTTCCTAAAATAACAAATCTAATCCTAGAAATTCCTCTCCTGCCAGAATCAGAACAGCTTCCGATCCTACTGGGAGAGGAAACCCAAGAGAGCTGCAGCCCAGCGTGTGATCTCCTGTCACAGCCCAGGGAACACACAGAAATGTTGTATGTGAAGTATCTAAAATGTTCAATAACGTTTTTATGGTGTGGAAAACTTGAGTACTGTAAATGTCTGAAAATGATCCGCTAATTGTTTATGCTTTTGCACTGCTAATTTATCAGCAGTGGCAATAAAGCTCGTTGCATTTGAATTCATCTCGCGTAAAAAAACAGGTGGTTTGTTGCTTTTCTTGTAAAAGTCTGTAAATAGTTACTAATTGTCTCTGCTATGGCAACACTGTAATTCATCGGTCGTGCCAGTAAAACTCTTTGGATCTGAATTGGCCCACGATGGAGCTCATGGCCGCGGCTCAGCTGTGAGTGCTGTTCGGAGAGAGGAGGGGGAGGCGAGAGAGCTTCAGAACAGCCCGAGAGAGGCGCTTCACCGCAGGAAGGGGTTAAAGATTTCCCTGCGAGCGACGTGAAGGAGTTTCATTTATTGCGTTTTCCAAGCGCTAATTGCAGAATGCATTACCCTGTCTCTGTACGCTCCCCATGCAATTATTCCTAATTTACTTCTCATCCGGATCATCTCAATAGAGCTCTGCGAATCCACTCGAGGAGCCCTGCAATTAAAATGGATATGCATTCCATTCAGCCGGCACTGAAGCCATGCACAGAATATGTTACAAGTGTCCTGAAAGGGTTGGCTTGCGTGCGTGCGACATCGTGTTTTCCCGGTGCTTGAGCGTCGCTAGGCGCCGCTGAGTGCCTGCGCTTTCTCTGCGGGTCCGGAGGCGAGGCGCTTGCTGGGTCTGGGTCTCTGTCCGGTCCTGCACATGTTCCCAGAACCAGCAGCTTCACGGGCTGGCCCTGAACCAGGCACCTCAGAGACTCCCAGCACAACAGCCGCTACAGTACAGAACAGCACCCAGGTACAGCTCAGTACCTCCAGCACCCCAACACTGCCCAGTATAGTACAGTACAGCACCCAGGTACACCCCAGTACCTCACAACATCCCAACACTACCCAGCCCAGTACAGCACCCCAACACTGTCAGCCCAGTACAGTACAGCACCCAGGTACAGCCCAGTACCTCCCAACACTGCCCAGTCCAGTACAGTACAGAACCCCAACATTGCCCAGCCCAGTACAGTACAGCACCCAGGTACACCCCGTTACCTCACAACACACCAACACTACCCAGCCCAGTACAGTACAGCACCCCAACACTGCCAAACCCAGTACAGTACAGCACCCAGGTACAGCCCAGTATCTCCCAACACCCCAACACTGCCCAGTCCAGTACAGTACAGAACCCCAACACTGCCTAGCCCAGTACAGTACAGCACCCAGGTACAGCCCAGTAGCTCCCAACACTGCCCAGTCCAGTACAGCACAGAACCCCAACATTGCCCAGCCCAGTACAGTACAGCACCCCAACACTGCCCAGCCCAGTACAGTACAGCACCAAGGTACAGCCCAGTACCTCACAACACCTCAACACTGCCCAGGCCAGTACGGTACAGAACCCCAACACTGCCCAGCCCAGTACAGTACAGCACCCAGGTACAGCCCAGTATCTCCCAACACCCCAACACTGCCCAGTCCAGTACAGTACAGTACAGCACTCCAACAGTGCTCACACACACAGAGCTCAGAGAGACACTAGAGCTCACACACGTACACACATGGAGCTCAGAGGAGAGGACACTGTGCTGATTCAGACACTAGGAGAGGAAGCTATGCTTTATTACACACACATAGAGCTCAAAGTGTACCCCCTTACTGGAGTCACCTGAGCACAGCTCGCTGTACCCCAACTCCTGGCGTTACCAGACCCCTGTCAATTGGAAGGAAATGGCTTCCTGACGTGTAATCTTGTCACTGGGTATCAGATCGATAAGGAGTTATCTCCGCTTTGTCACAGAAGCTCTCAGCCACAGAAAACCACACCTTCCCAGCATCCTCTGCTCTGCTCCGTCGGTACAACAGATAACTGCGGTCAAATGAGTCTGCATGGCCCTGCGCTGTGTTGTATTACATACTAATGTAGAGCAGCAGGCTCATATGCTTTTGTATTGCATAATATTAAATTAGTTTCTAGATACTGAGAGTGCACTAGCTATGTAATTTAATTTGCTAAATGTATATACTTTGAATTATTTTGCTGTGTAATTGTGGTACACTTAGTGATACTCTAGTATGTTACAGCCCTGTAAAGTTCTATTATACTGCCTTGAATTCAGCTGAACTCTATTGTACTGCCCTGAAATTAGCTGAGCTCAATTATACTGCCCTGAATTCAGCTGAGCTCTGTTGTACTGCCCTGAATTAAGCTGATCTCTATTGTACTGCCCTGAATTCAGCTGAGCACTATTATACTGCCCTGAATTCAGCTGAGCTCTATTGTACTGCCCTGAATTCAGCTGAGCTCTATTCTACTGCCCAAAATTGGGCAGAACTGTATTTGTCACAGCAAGGTATTTGTTACAGCTCCGAATCAGGCTGGGCTGTCTTGAGCTCTAGGGTCTTGTACCATTTCTGTAGGAATCCCTGTAGAGGCTCCCAGCTGCTCCGTCTTGCTCACAGTCTTGAGTGAGGAGAGTTTTCTTCCCCAGACCTCTGGCTGTAAATATTTACATTTCCTGGGCTGCGGTCCCAAACAGTGTTGGCCTTGTCCCTCAGTCAGCAGGCATTCCTGCTGCAGCTCTGCAGGCCTGGGAGGACCAGGCTGGGCAGGGCTTAGTGAGAGGACAGGCTTGCACTGGTACTGCAGCACATGATCACAATCAGCCCTCGTGCACCAGCAGAGCAAGAGATCTGGCTCAGAAACTGGTGCTGACTGTGTCATGTGCTTTTCTGAGCATGTATTTCTGAGCACATGTGCATGTCTGTAAGTGTGTGAGCTCTAGTGTGTGAATCAGCACAGTGTCCTCTCCTCTGAGCTCAGTGTGTGTAAGTGTGTGGGCTCTAGTGTGTGAATCAGCACAGTGTCCTCTCCTCTGAGCTCAGTGTGTGAGATGGGAAGAACAGAGAAGCCCACTGTAGTCCACAGCTTACACATCAGGTGACCATAAGGGTTCAGAAGAACTGGACACCCTGAACCACGATGACATTTTGAAGTAGTTGTGAGACCTAAAGTAATTAACAACGAAAACAAGTGCTGAACAGTCATTTTTGGTAATGAATGCATCATCATGATATTATCAGTTT